TTCCTTGGTTCTACCTAAATCACATGGGCTTAATTATATATTTGGACTTCACCGAAAATCACCGAAAGGTTGTGATGTTGGAAATTTGAGAATTATAATTTTGTACAGTACCTCCTAATAATTGTGGAAAGTAATCAAAGGTGAAATATTTTTGGCTAAAAAAAAAAAAACAGGGGACATCTCTGGTGCGACCTTCTTTTAAATGCCTTTACTGTCTGCATTAAATATGGATGGACAGTCTGTACACCCTCCTGTCTTATTGTGGCTTATAGATACTTTAGGCAAAAAAGTATCTCCATAATACTTTCCACTGTCTTTGAAGCCTGGACACCATAAACCACAATGTGGTTTTCCTGAAATTGAATAAAAATTCAGTTGTCAAACCGGTCTGTTAGACAGCATTCAGAAGTGCACTGTACAGTATGTTAGTACTGTCATGCACATGTCCAGCTCAATGCTTGTAATCCAGCCGTTGATATCTCTGATCTGTTGAGGTTATTCAAAACATTACAATTAACACTCACCCTCTCACCACCCAGACATATAGTAATATTTCTGTTGTAAATGAGGAAAAAGAGAAAAGACAGCAGCCTTCCTGTAAACACTGTGCTGATTGAATTGATGTCTCAAGAAATGACTGTAAATACTTTCAATATTGGTTTCAATACAAGTCTGTAAGTAGTTTAGTATTTTATTTAAAATATGAGAGACAAAGGAAATAAACCGATGAGACATTATCTTAAAGGAGCTTTATGTAAGATTGTGGCCAAAACTGGTCCTGCAATCACTTTCAAATTACTGTAGAGTGGTGTATCCCTTCCCCCCTGACTTGAGGTTGCCAGATAAGCTGCAGGATCCAAAATTTTTTTTATCCGACACTTTTGTAGCGGCAGCTGTGGTAACTAGAGCAGACCTGACTTCGTGATTGGTAGATAGGTGGAGGGTGGAGCATCAGAACAAAACACAACATGACAACATTAACATCAGTTGAAGGCTGCAACTTCACTTTTTAAATGACAATATCCTGGCTGGACTACTTTTGTCAGTGATATAAGTATTTGAAATGAACATGATTTCTTAATGTCTAGTGACATATCAGGGCCATTTTATGATGATTTGAAATACATTTCTTACATACAGCTGCTTTAAGTCTTAAGGAATATATATATATATATATATATATATATATACACACACTTCCGTTCAAAAGTTTGGGATTGGTGATGTTTGTGATGTTTTTGTGCCAATTTGATGCTCAAATTATTATTATCAATGTTGAAAACAGTTTTTCGATGAATAGAAAGTTCTAATTAATTTGCTTGAAATATAATCTTTTGTAACATTATAAATGTCTCTACTGTCACTTTTGATCAATTTAAATTCATCCTTGCTGAATAAAAGTGTAGTTCCTTTCGTTGTCATTCCGAGTTACGTCGGATGGCGACGAATGCGGTTTTGCTTAGAAAGCCTATCGAATTTGAGTATACAAAATGAGCTAATGGCAAAGAAATGCCATGGGTCTGTGGAATTTGCATAGAGTATCTCCACCTTTCCTTGTGGGTATAAATGAGGACGCCAGCAACATGCAGATAGGTTTTCGCTTCGAGCCAAGAGTATCTCTTCACTCCACAGCCATTTCTGACTTCGCTCTACTAGACGAGCCACTCTCTCCGGTGTTGGTGTTTCGGCGATCTGCAGCGAGTTCACATTGCCTGCTGATCTGTGCAGTGATCTGCCAGTGAGTTTTTTTATTATTATTTTTAAAGACTGCTCGCCTGTGCATTTCTGGTTGCGGTCAACTCCGATTTCCGATTTTGATGGGCACATTCTCTGCTCTGTGTGCTTGGGCTTGATCACACTTAGCAGCGTTTGTGGATGACTCACGTTCTTCCTGTGGGATCGTGACCATCGCACCATTACGGTTGAGACTCAGTGATCTTGTTAGAGAGCGAGTCCCCTCATCCACACCCCGATCTAACACTCTCCACATGAGATGCTACTTCAGCTGGTGGCCAGGCCTGAGGGTGAGAGAGTGGAACAAATCGCGGACTGTTTGTCCGTGGACCACACCCCCTTCTTCAGTGACGCAACCAGCGAGTGTTCCGGGTCTATTTTCGGATGCCCCGCTGGTTTCCCTTGACGCTCCAGAATCAGATCTGTTGTTCATTGCAGCATCACAGGGCGGGCTAGAATCTTCAGGAAGGGAAGTGGCTATGCCCCTATCATGAGAGTGGAGGTTGCTACCCTACTGGTCAAGGGTATGATCGAGACTGTCCCTCCTGACGAAATGAGGTCCAGGTTTTACAGCCCCTACCTCATTGTCCCGGAGAAATCAGGTGGGTTACAGCCAATCCTGGACATGCGCATCTGACCCGCCCCCTTCACAGGCTGCCATTCAAGATACTCCTGGCCAAACGCATTTTCGAATGTATGCGGCCACAGGATTGTTTTGCAGCGATTGACCTGAAGGACGCCTACTTTTTTCCGTTCTATTTCTCCGTTCTCCTTCAACTCAAATTTTACCTACAGTTTGCTGTCAGGGGGTGCGCAAATCATTATGCTGCTCTCCCATTCGGGCTAGCCCTGTCAATTCGCGCCTTCACAAAGGTTGTCGAAGCAGCCCTTGTTCCTCCGTGGGAACACGGGGTTCGCATCTTGAACTTTCTCGGCAACTGGCTATCCTAGCTCACTCTCGAGTCCAGGTTTGCGAACAAAGGGACCCAGTGCTACGGCACCTAGCTCAACTGGAAAAAAAAGAGTAAACTTTGCCCTGTTCAGAGAATCTCTTTTCTTGCTATTGACTTGGTCGCATTCTCCACTCAGCCACTGCTGACTTGCCTGAGACAATCAAGCGCAAGAGTGCGGTTCCACTGAATGTTTTTCAGAGGCTCCTGGGGCATATGCCGTCCGTAGCTGCAACATCGCTGCTCAGATTGCTCATATGAGACTGCTTCAGCTTTCACAACCGAGTCCCGAGGTTGGCATGCCAACACGGCTTGCTCTGAGTACCAGTTATTCCGACCTGCCGTCAGACCTTCTCCACGTGGTCAAACCTCAGTTTCTATGGGCTAGTGCCCCTGGAACATGTTTCCGGGAATGTTGTTCTCAACATATACCTTCACCATGGGCTGGAGCGGCATGCGCAATGGACTGCCAGCAACTCGTGCTGGCTCGAGTTGCTGGCAGTATGCCTTGTTCTGCACCGCTCTTGTGTTGTTCAAGGTCAACGTGCGCTAGCCCACTCTTACATTACCTCATCAGTAGCATACATCTACCATCCAGGTGGTCTGTGCTCCCGCCAAATGATGCAATTCGCCCTCCACCTCTTATGGAGTCAGAAGCATCTGAGGTCGCTTCGAGCCATTATTCCTGGAGCCCTGAACTGTGCAGCCTATGAGCTCCTACGACTTCAGCCCCTCCCTGGAGATTGGTGACTCCATTCCCAACCGGTTGATGGAGTCAACGGACTCCATCCCCAGTCGGCCCGCAAATATGCGTTTCCCCCAGTGAGCCTCCTTGCGCAGACCTTGCACCTCCTTGGCCAATTCCTCTGAGGAAGGACCTCCTTTCTCAGGGACGGGGCACCCTCGTCCCGATCTTTAGAACCTCCACGTGTGGCTCCTGGACAATACGAGGCAGGTTAGAGTACCCTACTTCCAGCGGTGGTGGCTACCTTCACTTCCGCTAGAGTGTCGTCCAGGAGACACCTCTACACGTTGAAGTGGAACCTCTTCGTCAACTGGTCCTCTTCTCGCCGAGAAGACCCCCAGAGATGTTTGATCAGTGTCGTGCTTTCCTTCCTTCAAGATGGGTTGGAGCAAAGGCTGCTTCCTTCCACCCTTAAAGTATACGTTGCCGCTATTGCCGCACACCACAGGACCACAATGGAAACAAGCCCTTGGGCTTTCTTGTGTTTTTATCCTTTTGAACACTTCATGTTGATTGTTGTTCAATAAAGTTTTCAATCAATCAATCAATCAATCACCATGATATGGTAGAAGTTAAGTCTGTTGGAAAGCACGACCTGATCGACAGGTTTCTGAGAGGAGCGAGGAGACTATATGCTCCACTCCACTCCACCCTGAGTGTGGCATACTCTTGGGCTCTAGCACATGGTGCCTCACTAACAGACATCTGCAGAGCTGCTGGTTGGGCGACACCCAACATATTCGCCAGATTCTAAAATCTTCGAGTGGAGCCTGTGTCCTCCCATGTACTCACTTCAACCAGCTAGTACTGGACCCGCTCAGGTGTCTTCGCTTGCTCGTCATTCCACTCCATGGACTGGATACGTGCAATATTGTCGGTGAGCTTCCCCGAAAGTTCCTCCAGTATTCGGTGCCAGTGTCTATTTCCTGTGCGTCGGCTAGGTGCCTCCCGTATGCATGGTCCCTCCCCTGAGCAACCCCCACATGTGTATTTACACTTGGCAAGCCACCTTGCCACCCCTGTATAAATGTATAATAAATAATAAATGTTTCTTGAGCAGCAAATCAGCATATTAGATTGATTTCTGAAGGATCATGTGACACTGAGAACTGGAGTAATGATGCTGAAAATTCAGCTTTGCATCACAGAAATAAATTACATTTTAAAATACATTCAAATAGAAAGCAATTTTAAATGGTAATAATATTACTTCTTTTATTAAATAAATCCAGCCTTGATGAGCATAAGAGACTTCTTTTAAAAGCTATAAAAAATCGTACCGATCCCATCGTTCCTGTGTTTTTGCCTTCTTGAGTATCAATATGAAATTAACTGTCCAATAAACATATAGTGTTATTTTATGCATCACCCACAAATGTTCCACATAGTATTGTGAGTACAATACTTTCAGTGTGCATTAATTTGCATACATACACACACACACACACACACAAAGATGGAACTGCTCCGGCCTTATTCACATTGTTTTTTTCTGTTCAATATCAGAGTAAAAATGAGGTTGCAACAGTTATTGGACATCCAATCACTCAATTTTGTTGTTCTCTAATTAGGTGACCAGATCGGTGGCTGATTGCCCTGGGCAGATGACACTGCTCTCCCAGCCTCTGCTGGTGTGTGGTGGGGACAGCTTTACACACTCCAATTTCGACGGCTGCATCGAGTCTGCCCTGAAGGTCTTTGATGTTCTGAAGTCTTCTCTCTAAAAGGGGGGTGGGAAAGTGCGCCTTTATTTTTGTTTTTTTGTTATGGAGGATGGAACACTGATTTAGATTTAAGCCCCTCCCTGCAGGAAGATGGATGTACTGCACAAAGAACAGTAGATCTGTCTGCCCTGTGTCTGCAGACATGCATTTTGTTACAATAACCAATTATACCGTCTGTGCCGGATGCTGAGGATTAGAGGACAACAGAGCACTGCGCAGGTTCAGTTGTGATGAAGGCTAGTGCCTCATACTGGCTTAGACACAGTATCTTGGACTACGGTTTTCTGATGTGTAGCAAACATTATGTATGCGTTCAGGTATTCTCAACCTTCCCCTGTGATTTAGTTTCAGATTAATAAAGTTATTAAAACATTCTTGAATGTGTCGTTGCACATGGGGAGTTGAAGTTCTGCGATGTGACTAACTATACTCTATTTAAAATATTTTATGGTAATTATTATATAGGTAAAACTAGGTAAAACAAAAATAGGTAAAAATATAGGTTAATGTAAAAAAAAGTTAATGTAAGATTAAGTTTAACATAATTGTGAGAATTAAAGTAATAATTGTAATGAAATACATCACAATTGTGAGTAGTAGTTAATAATTAGATGTAGGGCCCTATTTTAACGATCTAAGGCTAGGGTCTAAAGCACTTTCTCTAAAGGCGTTTCCGAATCAACTCTTGCTAGTTTAACGATTGGAAAAATGGTCAGCACGCATGTTATAAAAGGATTGGCCCTATTCTCCTAATGAGTAATTGGTGTGATTTAGGCGTAACGTGCAATAAACCAATCAGAGTCTCATCTCCCATTCCCTTTAAATGCCAGTTGCGCTTATTTCATGGCACAATTGCTATTTATATGGCGGAATTTGCAAGCAGAAAAACTGAACACTTCTCCAGAGAGGAAACGAATCAGCTTATGCGCGAGGTTAAAGGAGACCATCTACAGGACAAAGTGTACACACAATGTGAACCCGCCTATAGGCGTAAATTACTAACACGCTCTTTAAATGAAAAAAAATATTGCACCATTGACTTTAGACCAGGTTTTTGTTGGTCAATGGCGCAGCGCAGTCTATTTCAGTTGCCTCAAAATAGCAACGCACCAACAATGCGCCCGAACACACACCTCGTTTTCAGACCAGCACAACCATAGGCACACAAATGGGTGCAAATGCATTTGCTGTATAAACAACGTGGCACAGGGCAGGAAAATGATAACTGCGTCGAGCTAAAACTAGCAGAAAACACTTCCGTCGCGCCTGCCGCTACATTGCACGGGGTTAATGATGGGGCCCATAAAGTAATTTTGTAACATAAGCTGCCATTGTGAGAAATGAGGAAGAATAAAAGTCACAATTATTGCCATTGTAAAATATAACTTTTATTATTACTATTTTAGGCGTAAAGGGGTTTCCATACATTCATGGAAATTTTTACCTACATTTTTGATGTTTTAAAAACAGCTCAGAGATCATTTGTGCAAATCAGACCCATCTTGCATTTGGTTGTTGAGTACAGGAGTGGGGGTGAAAGTTAGCCCAGCTCGGCTGCCACCCCCTACTGATCTGTGTACAGTAATTCTGCTTAGAGGAGCGAGAGCAGCCATTGACCGACTTGTGCAGCTTAGTACTGCTGCATCTGGGCCATAATCTGGGACAAAATGTTTGGCAGCCAGTCTGGAGAGAGAGTCAGTCATAATCCAGTCATAATTATGGCCGGGTGGGCCCTGGCCCACTGCACAGCTGGGCCTTTCTCATTCTCTTTCTTGATCTCTCCCTTTCTCTCTTTCTTTATCAATTACTCCCCCACTTCAAACTCCTGGTCTCACTACTAATATTAGCCTCTGTGCCCTTACCAGGATTATATTACATCCCTCCTGAGATACACCACACTATCATCGATACAGAGTCAACAAACCATCTCAAGATGGAGGGGTTAGACTCGTGTACATTTTGCATTTATCTTGCATCCAATGGCGACTTTTTCCCGCCTGTTTTCTAAGGCAGTGCTTTAATGACAGCAGCAGTCGAGCTGCATGAACCTAACAAACCCGATGATCATGTTCTTCAGCATGATTTCATAATGATCTAAAGAGCAGCTTACTGTAAGCTTCAATGGAATGGATGTCGGATTAGTTCACTTTTGAAAAAACTTTTGCTGATAATTTACTCACCCCCATGTCATCCAAGATGTCCATGTCATTCTTTCCTCAGTCGAAAAGAAATTAAGGTTTTTGATGAAAACATTCCAGGATTTTTCTCCTTATAATGGACTTCAATGGGAACCAGGTCCAACCGAGGTCCAAACGACAGTTAATAACAGTTTCAGATGCAGCTTCAAATGTCTTTAAACGACACCAGACGATGAATAAGGGTCTTATCATGCGAAACGATCGGTTATTTCAAAGCTTATTCCAAAAATGTAACTTTTCTAAGGACAAATGCTAGCCTTTCTCCAGTCTGTGAGGCGCGTTTGCAACGTCACGTAATACGTAATTACGTTCAAAAGGTCACGGGCGACGTAGCCAGAAGTACAGAGTCAGAGTGTTTACAAGTTGAACGCATAGGTTGAACGTGAAAACTAACTCAAACGCCGTTTACAAAAAAGGAATTAAAAGGTAAAACAACGATGTCGGACGATTTTGATTCTGTACTTCCGGCTACGTCGCCCGTGACCTTTTGAACGTAATTACGTATTACGTGACGTTGCAAACGCGCCTCACAATATATTACAAGGCTAGCATTTGTCCTTAGAAAAGTTACATTTTTGGAATAAGCTTTGAAATAACCGATCGTTTCGCATGATAAGACCCTTATTCATCGTCTGGTGTCGTTTAAAGACATTTGAAGCTGCATCTGAAACTGTTATTAACTGTCGTTTGGACCTCGGTTGGACCTGGTTCCCATTGAAGTCCATTATAAGGAGAAAAATGCTGGAATGTTTTCATCAAAAACCTTAATTTCTTTTCGACTGAGGAAAGAAAGACATGGACTTCTTGGATGACATGGGGGTGAGTAAATTATCAGCAAAAGTTTTTTCAAAAGTGAACTAATCCTTTAAATCAATATTGACTTTCAATGTTTCAATATCCTAAAACCTTCTGTTTATTTCCTTGTTTAAATTAGCTTTTTAAGTCCCAGATTTTCAGACCCCGCACTGTATATATTGGTCTATATTCTGAATATCTTTTATTCATACCCTGCTTTGAAGAGTTTGACCATGTGCCACTGTGATTTTCCAATATAAACTAATCATCCATGCCTGCCATGTTAAACAAAAAGCTCAGGCCTCAGCAAGAATTTCATGTGGTAGTTACTTTCTGGAATGAAGCTAAGAGCTATATGTTGAAAAAGGCAAGTCATCAAGTCACCACTAGCATGTTCTGATTTTAAAGGAACTAAAAAGAAAAGGTTATACAGAAAAAGCTAATCCTTTCCACTTTATTATATATGAATGACAGTGTTTTGTACGTGTTCCTCTTTCTCTAGCAGTGCTGGTCTGATCTGCTAGAAAGAAACAGAGAGCGGGAGAGAGAAAGAGCGAGGCTTTACTCTAATGGATACATTATTCATACAAGTCATCCTGCAAGGAATAGAGCTCAGCTGCCTGGGTTGCAAAAGCCTTGCCACAATGTTGCATCAGCCACCTCACTTTCATTAATACGCACATTACCGTCTAGGGCTCTTTGATCTTTTTTTAGCAGTCGATAAAAAAGAATGGGCTATGGTGGAACACTCCATTGCAGGGTTGACATTGTTAGTGATTTGATTTGGGTTGAGGATGGTCGTCCTAACAGACTGATGGACAGGCATCGGAGGGTGATCGTGTTGTGCCACTCTTGCCGGCTGCTCGTGTGTCTGGTAGATGACACAGTCAGGCAAAGCCTTTGTTTTGCTGCCAAGACTCATTTCAAATATTCCCCTGACTCCTTTCGCTTCTTACTTTCATCCCAGTCTGAAATATTCTTGCTCTCATTTTCTTTTATCCCCTCTTTTCAACTCGCGTGCTCACGAGGGTCCTCCCAGACTCTTTCGCTTCCCCCGACTATTCTTTCCCCCCTTTTCGAAAAGCGCACGCCGTAAAGCCACAGAGCGTGTTGCCGCAGACACAAGGATCATAGCTCCACTGACCTATTTTTATAGGCTATCCCGACGGAGCATGGCTGCTGTGCATTCTGGGTATCTGATTTACATTTTTGCAAAGTCACTGGCAGATGGCACCAGAGCTTGACGAGACCGCGGTAGGCTAATCCCTACCCAATTGACACAGACACACACGTACAATCCTTCTCGGCATCATACGCAATCCCATCCCCCACTCCGAGGCAGATCATGCGTGTCCTCTTTAGGTAAGACCCCCTTATAGCCGGATGAAAAGCGCTGGCATCATATCAGAAGTGCTTAGGCCATCACTCACATTGAGAATGGGAAGACTTTTGTAGCTGGATTCAAGGGCATCACTAATAAGATCGACACCACCCCACCCCCCTTCATATTTGGTTAGAGGGAGAGATGTTTTCTGGGAGGAAATGAAAGGAGATAGTGCCTGGGTTTAGGGATATGAGGATCCTGTGTGGTTGTGTGTAAGCGGCAGACAGGAGATTGGGATGTTTAGACTGCTCTCCCTCTCTCACATCTCTAGGGAGCTCAGGCTTGTTTAATTAGAGGGGTGGTGCCACGGGTAATGGGCGCTGACGTCATCGGCCCCTTCTTCTCGCACTCTCGCTTCTCCTCACAGGCCCAACAGCATGGCTTTCTCAGCAGTCAATATACCCAAAAGCTCTCTATTGATCTGGGAGGGACAGCTTCACTCACATGGCAGCAAACTACCCTTAGCTAAAGGGTAGTTACACTTGATGACTTTTGCACAGATTTTTTTTCCCTCTGATTTACAGTCTGGAGGAGTCACTAGTCAGAGGTTGTCAGTCGAAGTTGACAGTTTTTGCAGAAAATGACAGTGTATGATGGGCACAGCCTTCGATTTTTTTTTTAGCTTCAGACTATGATTCCGTCAAGTCCAAGGATATCAAACGTGTCTGATATTTTGAGACAACTATAGAACACCTATTGTTTTCGTTTGCATATACTCCAGTGTGAGTTTGTTGTCTTCTGAATGACTTGAACGAATATGGAATATGCGGTAGCATTTGCAAAATTTCAAAAAAGGTGAATTGTCTCTTGTCAATAGACGAGTATCAGTGATGCGCGGGTCAATGTATAAACAACCCGCAACCAACCGACGTTTTCAACTACCCGCCCGCAACTCGGACCGCAAAAAAAAAAGTAAAAAAATATTGTACCCGACCCGCTTCCTGACCGCATTTTTTAAAAGTAGTAAATGCTCATCGGAGCGTTATTGGGCCATAGA